ACGCTCTTTTATGTTCGTTAATGCGTTTGTTGAAGGATCTACCTGTTTGTCCAATATAAATTTTAGGACAATATCCGCATTTCAACCTATAGACACCTGATTTTTGGGATTTTGGACATTTCGTTTTATTGGTTTTTAAATATTTTTTAGTTTTTATTTATTTTGATAAATGGATTTTCATCAAGTAAAAACCACCTCAGTTCAATACTTCGTTTTCCATTTTTCAACTAAGAAACACATTAAAACTATTCGACTAGAAAAAAAAATGCAAAAACTATATTCGATACTTCCAACGAAGAACTCCGAGGTGTGATGGGTTAAAATGCGGCCCTGTGTCTTTTAGGTATTTTTAACAATGCGTGCACATAAAAGCGAGTGGAAATTTCCACAGCCTCTTTGGCAGACAAGCTGTTATTCGCTGGCCAGTGGCGTACGGGTTCGCCACTCAAGGCGGTGCGGGTACTAATTTGCCAAAAAAATGTTCCCCATATAAACGAAAACAATATAAGGCTACACAAATGGCAATGATGAAAATCGAGGTCCGTTAGGATTTTACTTATCATTGTTACCTTCGAAGATTTTTCAAACTAGGAATAACAGCTGCGAGCGTATACTTGCACCCAAATAAGCTCAATTCACCAGTTTTTTCACGGCCATTTTCGTCTTGCGAGCTACCTTGAGCGGATGTTCAATAATTTACCGTTAAATTGTGTGCAAATTACTTTTTTGGTAGGCGCGATTACAATTGAATTTTCAATTATTTGACCTAGCTATATTGCGCAATGTTGAGTTAAATAATAACTGGCGTTAAGTAAGTTTAAGTTTTTAAGTTAAGTTGAAAGCACGTTGTCACTAGCCGTTATAAGATCGGCAACACGTTATACAAAAAAAATACCGCTTTTAAATTTACATTGCGATTTTCCAGAATATCTCTGAATATAGTTTTTATTTCTTTATATTATTATGGCGGCTGATTACAGCTTCAGCAAAAGAACCGTTTTTTACTAAGTGGGTTCCAACCTTAAATCACAAACAGATTTGTAATTAATAATTTATCAAAAAATTTCAATATGCAATTCGTTGGAACAACTTTTCACACTCGGAATAAATGTTTCATACGATAATCGATTATTAATCATCTATGATCTTTTTCTGCGTGTTTATTCTTGTTTTAAATTAAATTAAATTTGTTTCGATTTCAAACACATTGACATTGAAGTACTAAGATATCTGTGGTACCCGATTCCCTTAGTATTCAACTCTTAAAAATACTCAATACTTTTCATTTACATATAAATAAAGTGAACGCGAATCTCAAATTCCAAAAAACGTGAAAATACGAACAGTGAACTCGATCTAAACTGGAATGGTAATGCTTGTGATTTTGTGACTAAAATTTGAGTTAGTGTGAGCCGCATAGCAATGTAAATCGTATTTTTTGTCATACCCGTTAATACAAATAGCAGGTACTTTCTGCCTGTTAGAGTTTTTTGAGGATTTCAGTGGCTTATTATTCTTTGAACTAATATATATTGACTAATTTCACGCTAGTGGTAATAAACATTTTTTTAAATGGTAAACTCTTGTGTTGCATGTTGCATTAGGTATTACATGATTAAATTTTAATTTATAAATAAATAAGAAGAACGAGTTCTTATTTAAAGAAAACATATAAATATGATTATACTCGTATACCTAAATAGAGTATTTTTAAGTAAGTAATAAAAAAAATTAACACATTCAAAGAACATAAAATAAATTCATCGGTAAAAATGTGTGTAAAAATAACAAATAAAACATTAAAAAAGACTTTGATATTTAAAATATTCATGAATTTCCGGAGATTTTTCTAGAATTTATAATACAAATCGTATTTTTCACAAAGATTCAATACTTTAATGTAACTGACTGATTTCGGTTATTCCGAAAAATGAAAATTATGCATTTCCAAAACAACACGAATACATTCACTGACATGACCGTCATAATTGGTAAACGTCACAATTCAAGGCGTGGGAAGTATCTCCGAAATCATCCGATTGCTCCCAAACCAGTGCGGTAAAATCCCGGAAATGTACGAAGTGGCTCAGCTCCGTAGGAAACGAAACTGAAGTGGTAAAGTGACGTTTCCGCAAGTTAGATCGGTGTGTAATTAGGTATTTTACAAACAGGAGTAAAAAATAGTATATTATGCAACAAGTGCGGTAAACGGCATTTGACTCACGAGTTTATTATATTTTAATAAACGAGTGAGTTACAAAGTTTACCGAACGTTTTGCATACTCTACTTTTTCTACAACCGCTAGTTTTTGGGTACATTTTCGCAAAACAACACGAATACGTATTTCTACGCCTTGAATTTTGACGTTTGTCAATTCCGACGGTCATGTCGGTGAATTTATTCGTGTTGTTTTATATGTATGCAACACGTTCAGTAAACTTTTCAAGTCACTCGCGAGTCAAATGCCGTTGGCCGCACTTGTTCCATAATATACTATTTTTATACTTATAACTAATTTTGTTGAACTTTCGTTTAGCCGAAATCATTTACATAAACAAGAATTGTACTTTTTTCTTCTAATAGTTTTGACTATATTAACACTTTTTTTTGGGGGAAATGTATCATTTCTAATTTCTGGGCTTTAGAACAGTCGAAATTAGTTGCATCAAAACTGATGTTTGCACTGAATTTCCGGTCAGTTTTGGTTAGTTTCATTGTCAATGTAACTGATTTCGGTTATTCTAAACTCCGAAAAATGAAATTGGTGTTGGTCTATTGTAAAATTTGGCCTCACTTCCAGTTTGGATCCAGTCCACTGCAGATACGTAACAAACGGAGCTGCACCCAGTAAAAAAAATTAAAAATAGTTCTGACAAATCACAAACACGCTTCAAATTAGGATGGAACAGAAAACAACAGTCTAACTCCTCTAACCATAACTATTATCTGTCAGTGAGAGTTATAATTCCGAGCATAAAGGAAACGGTTTCTGGTCAGCAGCTTATTACCAGAATGGCAGGTTGTTTTGGAATTAAATGAATCCACTATTGTCCGTAATTCCGCAATAGAATGCACGTTTCAAAAGAAGATTAGAATTTGGAATGAAGCAGAAAGAATTTTTGCACCGTTCGCGATTTGTTTTAAAATTCGAGTGACGTTGCGTGCAGTTGGACGTTATTTTTAACTTATAGGAAAAAAATTGTAAACATAAATATCAATCACAAACCTACGCTTGCGAGTATTTTAAATGAAACGCGACGCAAACGTGTCAAAAGTTAAAAATATTGACCGTACATGGTACGAACCTTCCATTTTCATTCAAGTATCATCATGAATTAACAACCAGGTGGCAGAAATCCGGTTCCAATAAACTCCGGTTTCGGGTTACACAACACTACGGCGACGAAAGGTGCACACCAGGTAGCAAAACGGCTCGATCAATAACAAACAAGTCCGAACTTGTCGGCCGGTTCGATAAAATTAAGTCATTTAAGGGAGACTCCTCGAGTGCACTTTTATTCGTCGTCAAAATGGATTTGTTCGACGTTAAAACAGTTTTAAAAAAATTAATGGAGGCAATCGAACATGATTGGGCAACACATAAACACTCGGCAGGAATTTACTTTACTTAAATTATAGCGCGAAAGGGAGAAAGGAGGGAAAGGGAAACAAAAAACATAAACATAATATTTTAAAATCTTCACATTCACAAAACATTTTCCATGATATCTTAGACGGAAAGGAATCCGAAAGGCTTGTAACTTTCTTACATGAATATTTGGAGTTTAAAGGCTTCAGTTTAATGATAACTCACACTTACAGAAAAACCTGTTCCAATCTGGAAATATAATGTGCTATGCTAAGTTTGAAACTCTTAGAAATACATATGTAGTTAAAAAAGTAATAAAAATCATAACGAGGGTTATAGAGGGCACTGCCATGGCAGACTGAAACTCTTGATATAAGTTCTTACTAAGGGAAGACAGAGAGGCCAGTTAAAGCATGAATTGGGTTAACATCACTGGTATACTCTGTATACTGGTATAGTTTGCTATAGGTTGCCTTCTTCCTGTGTTTAGAAAAAGTAGTTTGCGTAACAAGTTAGAAAAGTGGGCCGTGTTACGTACAACATATTTTACAATATTTTGTTTAAAACCGGCTTATTGTCGAGCCATCGACAAAATATTAAATTTTTATGCGAAATCTTTATCAACAATTAAATTGTGGTGTTTATACATAAGCTATTTTCGTGGAGCTGAACCCGAATCTACCGAATGCATGACGGATTTTACCGTCTGTCCGTTATCAAACTATTTGGCAGCAAGGTTTTACTAATTGGAATATATAGGTACGAATTTGCTGGTTAGATACGCAATGAATATTAAATATTAATTAGAATGAATTAATTAATTATAATGTTTGCTCTTCATTGGATACAAATAAATATTTTTTGCAATTTCGTCTTGGCAGCCTTTGGAAATAGTAGGTCCACTTTTTCTGTATTTTTCATCACTCTGTCTTTCTAACGTTTCCAACGCAACTCCCTACGACGAGAAATTGTTTATTTTGAAGATTCCGTTGCAAGAGAAAGCAAAAATTTTTTCAGATTTAAATCCAAGCAAAAGCGCCCGGACTGTTTGGGGTAGCGTATTATCGTCTCGAATTCTCCTCCCGATTTTGCGTGTTTTATTGTCTGGTTTATTTTCCGACTTTGACCTAGGAAACGTTAGGGTCACAAAGATTTTTCTGAACGCACGGGGTAAAACTTCAAAACTTCAAAAAGCTTCACAAAACACTCTTCGTTCGGCGGAAGAGGTTTCGCATGGTCTAACGAATTCATAGTTCTACATGAATGTTCGTGACGTGTTAAAAGTGCGAATGTTTTGTGTCGGTGTGATTGATTTTTTGGAGTTTGCGCTCGAGTGGACGCTACAGACGTTCGTTGGTGCTGATGGTGTTCTAATTCTAATATACATTCGACAACGCACTACCGAAGCTCTCGGTGATACGCAACCGTTAAACGTTCATCACATTGCACAAACGCCTTGCAAAATAAAAATCCAAGCCTAATATTAGACCGTCGGCAGGAATTTAAAATAATCACCGCGGCCAGTGGACATTTAATTTTAGTCTTTTGGCAATACGTGAGAAAACTACCCGACACTTGTGCGCGCGATGATCCGTATCCAATCTGTAGATAATAATTATTATTGGCCGTAATTGAAAACGACACCCGAGGTTTTTGGCTTTCGCCATGGCTTTTTGAATATATAGTGATCAAATGTCAATTAGCAGCAGCGTCGCGGTCGGATCTATCGTCGCTATTTCCAGCAAGATGGAGCTGAAAGAAATACCCCGAAAAAAGGTATGTTGGTTGTAAATCGAATGTGCGGCGTGAAAAACGCGTTAAAAGCGATGCGCTTTTGTCGTTCGTTGTCTCGTTGATTGTCTCGAGCGAAATTTTTGCTTATAAACCATTTAAACTGACACGAATCGAGAGAAATGTTTGAGTTTACTTAAAACGACGTCATGTAGATGATATTTACCCCGTTGAAGTGGGTAAGGGTCCATTCGGCAACGCATCGTTTACAAATTCATTTAAGAAAATATACATTTAACGAAGTGTAAGTTGTCAGGATACTTTTTTCTGTGCTTCATTTAAAACAAAAATACCATATAAAAACAATATTTTAAAAAAGTGTCACTTCAAAACGTCAGTTTTATTAAATGTTTAGTTACTGTTAGTTTGACTTTTGCCACTCCACATCAGTATTCATGCTGTTTTGCAAAAATGTATCAAAAAAAGGAAGAGCATAGTATGCAACACATTGATAAACTTCTTCAGTGACTCGTTTATTAAGCACTCTTTCCGGTGCGCTCTGCTCGTGACTAAAATGGCATTTATTATACTTATTGCAAAATATACTAATACTAAGTGAGGTTTAACACTTTTTTTAGTTAATTCTCCTTTGAGGTTTTAATTAATGCAGCACGGATCTTATAAAAATACTCATCAAACCAGTGGCACAACTAGGAGAATGGGAAAACAGTTGATTAAAAAAATGTGCACCAAAATATTGAGTTAAGAAGTCAATAGATCGTTGTAACAGGAGTCCTAAATACTTTTGAGCCAAGGACATTTTTACAAATTTTGCAAAAAGTTGGCCAAAATGGAAAAATTGCCAAATATAAAATACAACCGTTTAAACTAATAGCAATACTTTTTAAATGACACTAACTCACTTCAAAGGAGCTAGATGAATATCTAATAAATGCTTTAGACAAGCAAGTAATTGTATCTTAAAGCATAGCATAAATATTAAATAATTATGTTTTTCTTCCATGAAAATCTTTTTTTTCTCCTCTATATTTATTTTTTTATAGAAACTGACATTTTTGCGATTTTGACGTATACATAAATGTATAAATAATAAGCGTTATTATGATTAAAATTAAATGACTAGATTGTATGTGAGTATGCTATATACATACACAAGCAAATGGATCGGTAAAAAAATGTTATATTTTCTACAGTTTTTAATACTTCAATTTGATTTCCGTGCAATATCCAATGAAAATATCGCATCGAACACGTATATTAACTAATTAACCTAGCATTATCGACTTAAACACGCCGCAAGTGTGGAGGTCTATTTGTTTAACTCCGACATGTAAGGCTTATAGTTTATATTTTTTATATTCTTTAAGAGTTTATTTTTAAAAATATCTGGCAATACAAAACACAAATTTTCGACCCACGACAATGTTTTTCCATGCGGGCTGTTTCTAATTTTCGACTTTTTCCTATAAATACCGCGGCTATTTTCGATTTAACAAACAAAACCACCAAAACAGATAAGTTTTTCAAATGTGTAGGTAACATTTTTGCGAAAATTTCAGCTTTTCCCTTAGACTTTCTTGTCTTTTTCCCTATTTTTTAACAGATTCACATCCAGAATAATAATAAACAATTCTCCTGAATCTATTTCGCAAGGTTTTGAAAGGGCAGCGTTTTTGACTTGACATTTTAATATTTAAAAGATGAACATTAAAATATTTTTCAGTGTACAGGATGTGCCATAAAACCGTGGCAATAGATACATATATAACAACAGCACAAAATAACATAAATCCTATTGTAATTAATTTCAAGGATGACTAGGCTGACTAAAATTAGATACTTAGAATAAAATACTAATTATGTATAGATAATTATTTTATTAAAACTTTGTATGTCATTTTCGTTGATGCAATAACTAAACAATAAATAAAAGTCCGTCCCTAATGTTTTGCCCCTCACTTCGATAAAGTAGGCAAAATTCAATAGGATGTACTGATTTTTGTGTTAAAAAAATCTAAAAAATAATTACAAAAAAATTCTAAATTCAGTACACCTACTTAATTGTATTTATTGTACCGAATACTTTAGGATTTAGAAATAAAACATGCACAAAATCAGCGAATAAATAAAAAGGACCTGCAAAATTCATTCATTCATTCATTCTTCAGAATTTCGAATAGCGTTAAATGGTTGACAGTGTTATCAACGATATTAACACGTCGACATACTTCGTCGTGGTTTCAATTTCAAACGATATTTTTTATCGTTTTTTATCGCCCCTTATCGCACAGCTCATAAAATTCTAGTCGACAATGTTCAGGTTATTGCGCAAAGTCCGCATAAAAAGCTGTCGACGCGGCATTTGTTATTTTTTTTAATAACTAATTGAATAAAGTTAAATTCCGCTTCGCGATTTTAATACGCCGCAAACTACCTCCAACCAAAACAATCACACGGAACGCGATAATCGGACCCAATTTCTTGTATTACAAACAAAGCACTTTAACCAATCCGCCACGTCCTGTTTGTGTGCGACGCGCCACCACCTTAACGTCCCTACTTAATCAAAATAAATTAGAAAATCGCCACACATCGCGCATTTTAAATTGTTGCCCACACAGAAAAAACAACTCTACTGTTATTAATGAAAACCAATGATTAACTGCAGTGTCATTACCACAATGCTTCTTTTTAATTATTACAGTGTCGCAATTTGACCATAGCTGTTTAATACTTTGTTCAATATTACGGAATTGATGAGTTTGTGCTGGGTTTATAAAAAAAAACACTTTTTATCAGGACATTTAAAAAAAGGATCACATATTCGTGTTCTTAAATTAACCAATGCACAACAGCACAATTATGTAAAATAAGAATATTAAAAAAAAAGTGTAAATGTATTATTAAATTAAGTGCTGAATAAAGCAATAACATTGTTTAACCGTCGACTACTTAAAAAAATGATTTTTCATAAACCCAGCCCAAAACCCATCATTATTTAATATGGAAAAAATGGTTAAATTTACATTACATACGCATTGTCCTAATGCACCAGTATAGTAAGAACAGTATATATTATATAATATATAAATGTATAAGTATTACTTAGTATTGTTTAGTTTATAAACTTTTGCAACGCTAACAAATGGACCTTTTTTTCCGAAATACTAGAACAGAGATTGGCTTCGAAATAATATAATTGTTGCACATTTTAATTGCGTTATAGGTCAGATAGGGTTCAAATTTACAGAACTACGCTGGCTAAAATGTTTTTCGTCCTCATAACGAAACGAAACGCTCCTTTAAGTTGGTGAAGAATATTTTCTAACTTTAAATGAGTAAGACACAAGTAATGCGACTAAAAAATGGAACTGGTTTCATTTTGGGCCATTCGATATTTTCTTCTGATATATGACTAAAGTTCCTCAAACCATAAACACAAAAAACTTAGAATTTGGGTCAGTGACTAGAGAGTAATAAATACCAAATTTTTCAAGAATTATGGTAATACCGTCAGGTATGATTTTTTCACTCGCTTCGCTTGTGTTAAAACAAGCTCGTGACTAAAATGTAGTTCATCAAATTTCTTAAAATTTCATTTTTACAATTAATAAGGGAAAATTAATAAATAATCCCCACCGAGGATAATTGCCCTAAAAGCAATCCGCTTCATGTGCCTTAACGTCTACGTTTAGTCTAGCCAGGCGCCAGCAGTCGTATGACGTCAGCACCGAAACGGAAAAATGGGACAGATATTGCGAATTCGGCGCCCTTCACAAGGTCGGCGTTTTGAGTGCCAATCTGGCTGGTTTTAGATTTGCTAAGATAAGGGTGTCGTCCGTCACGCTGTTCTTATTCTTGGAGTCACGTTGGCGTATGATCGAATTATTGTTGTTTTTATTTGTTTCTCTTTACCATGGCACGTTGCAATTTCGTTTGCAAATGGCATGTGGGGTTTGAAGGTTATTGACCTTGTTTTGTTTTTCGTGGGATTCGGCAGTAAGAAAGAAGGCTATTCTTCTTTGGGATGTTTGGTGTCTATATTTTTCAATATTCAACATTCTGATTTAATTAATCTATGAATTAAAATTAATTAATTAATTAAACAGCTTCAATATAGAGGCGAAATTTGGCAAAGAAGGATAGACTTTTTCTTTTACCTACGACTATTGCGTATTAACTTTTCTGACTATAACAGTTGAAATAGGTCAGTGCTTAATTAATATGGTTTGACGGGTTAATGTTGTGTTGTATAGTCGGTCTCAATCTTCATCGTGCTGACTTTTGTCCGCAATTATGGAAGTTACGTGCCGACCGCATTAAAACTCGGGTCTGGTAGGTATTAAAGGAGAGAATATTAGGAACGGACTCTCAAAGGTTTTGGTAATTTTTTTTTGTTTATTTAGGTGGGTATAATCTTATTAAATTACACAAAGAACAAACAACTACATCAAATATATACAATAAATTCTTAGCTAGCAATATCTATACATAATTATATTTTTGTTCTAGATGTCCAAACCTAATTCTGTTTCACTATCAGAGTCGTCATCGAGATTAATTATTCCGATTTATGTTGTTTGTATAGAACTGTAAGAGTCCCCAATTTTTATAATGAGCTCTACTGAATTTTTCCAAAAATTGCGTTTTTTTTGACTGAATTCAAAATAAATTTCTAAATTTCTAACAAATATTCCGGGATTTCAGTTTTTGAACTTGATGAGACTGGTGTGTATTTTACGGTACTCAAATCCCTCGGAGGGTGGCTTATGTGTATACTGGTTTTCAGTTTATCCAAGGTAGGAACAACTTCGCTTCGATAAAGACAACATATTTTCCTTCTTATTAGGTCCTGATCACTATTGTCTATACGGTGAGTTAGAAAATCACTTCCTTTTTTTCATTTCTCAAATGTTAATTATATCCCTTATTAGCGTTTTTATAAGTAGGCAGGTTTTTTTAAACTTCTTGTTGAATAAGTCCCCTACTGATTAAAGTTTCATACAAATTTTTTACAACCTGTT